AGGAAGTGTGTTTTTTATGTAAACATACTTTCTCATATCCCAGTTTATTATGAAGACATACAGGTACAGAAAAGTACTTGTCAAAGCATTGTCCTGATTGCATGAACATTGCAGCCAGCCTGACAACAATTCACCCAATAGCATAGTATTGAGGAGTGGTTATCTGATCAGCCAGCCAATGAAATCTACTTTAAGTCTGATAACAGTTCAAACAAAAGCATGAGTTTGGTTATATGATAAGCCAGTCAGTATTTTTGCTATTCCATTTGAAATGACAATTCAGCTTTGTTTGAGGGTATGGATATATGATAAGCCAGCCAATGGCAGAGAATCTACTACAGTAACTACATGTAAGGTGTAATGAGGACACTGTAAAACGTAGTGCTACCTTTTTTCATTCCATTTGAAATTACACACTTTGGCTTTAATTATAACTATAAAACTCAAAACCACAAAATTATGACAAGTCCCTCATTTTCTACCATTTGCATATTTACATTTATATAATGCATCGACAATACCCTTGAGCGACCAGCGAGTAAATGATTCTGTTTGTACATGAGTAGAATGAATAGAATGAATGAATGAAAGGCAACAGTAAAAGAGCACAATTTGTGCCTGGATTAAATTTCCTTAACTCGTATTAGAAATAAAGTAGTAATTAAACAATTTAGAGAAAATGGGTGAGCTATCCCTTAAACACATAAAAAGTAGTGGTACCATCATAGATTGCAGCTCCAAGACCTGGAAAGGATAATCCATTGACAAAAAAAAAAAAAAAAAGTCGTAGAAATTATTATCATTGCTTCCATATGAAAATTAGCTTGCTTCCAGAATCATTTTAATACAGTATATTGCTTTCGATATAAACAAAAAACAAAAAACTGCTCAACAAAAATGTGTATTGAAACTTTTTAAAATCTTTAAAAATGCTGTATGTGTACTCTAAAAAATGTTGGGTTGTTTTAACCCAATTCGGAGTAAAATATGGACAAACCCAGCCATTGGGTTAAAAATTTTAATTTAAAAATGTAACCCAATGGCTGGCTTTGTCCATATTTAACACAAAATATTATGTTAAATAATAATATATTAAATAATTATGTGACAAAAACGTAAGGAAAACAAAACTTTCACACACTACGGAGCAGAAACACACAGATGCAGATCACAGCAGTAATACTAATGGTGATTGAGCATCAGACCCACAACACTTCATTTACATCAGGCTGACCCTGCAGAATCAAACAATCCCAACACTGCACAGGAAACCGTATCTGCAGTGAAACTTAGTTATAGCAACAAACTAATTGATTTTACGCAAGAGATCCACGAAATGCATAATGAACATTACACATACTGTACACATACAAGCCAGCTTGTATTCCTATGGGGATAAAGATGCAAAACCAACCATCTGTTTAATATTTAATCTTATCCAGCTTATTAGTCCAGTCATGTAAATATGCACTAAAATGAACAATGCGAAACCTCACATGACATGGAGAAAATATGCTCAACCAATGATCCAGAACCTGCGATGTCTTTTAACATTGCTAAGCTTCACAAAACAGCATCAGCTGACCCCAGAACAACTCACTCTGAAAAATGAAAACGGGCTTACGAGATACGACGGTGCCTTAAGGATATAACAGCATAGAGAGGATACAGATAAGATACAGACAATCTCGTATTGAACACGACTGGAAGGAACTCGCTCTCTCCGTCTCACACACATACCCAACAAATTACCTCATTCTGATGATCTCACACACATGATAAGATTTTCAGGGTGTTCAGTTTGTAACAGTAATGATTTAACTGACAGAAAATTACATGACGCCCCAATAGATTTCAGATTTCAAAAGAATACCTTGGTAGATGGTACATGGTCAAATAAACATGGTAATACATGGTATCATAAAATATCAAGGCATTATATTCATTGTCCACTTACCATAGTACGACCATAGTATTTTGTACCTGGTAGTACCATGGGTGTATTTCTTTGACAGTACCAGCAGGGTATTCTTATAAATATCATGGAGTAGCATGTGAATACTATGGTACATGAATTGTAGTACCTTGATAAATGTCAAAATACTGTAGTATTACCATTCTTGCACCATGGAACAAGGGTTTATGGGTATAGGTTTTTGTAATGGAAAGAATACTATGATCATAAAACTATGTTACAGTGTACAAAAAAACCCCATTAGTACCCAGACTTACTTATATTTCTACTATACTTGTTTGTAAATGTGAATGATATTTTTTCATTATGCTTCAAAGTTGAGTTTTCTCTTTATCTCTACTGAAGTCTGTAAGCAGATATTTGAACGCCTCTACATTGTGGATGAGTCTGTGTTCACTGGTCCAACAAATCACAGAAGAATTAAGCCTTTCATTGGCACTACCACTGGAAATATTTCAAGCATGTGAGACCCCAGGTGAACCACAGCGCCAGGACGCTCTGACGTATGAAAAGTACAGAGAGAGCAATCAAAAATTATGCACTTTAGAAGAACTACCAGACTGAGGCTGAGACCAAGGCTACGGATACAATACAACATGCAAAACATGCATCCTGTTCTCCCTCACAAAAGCGGACTTCCCACGCACAATGTTTTAAATCACGTTTAAACTTCACTAAACTTGATTCAGCTGCAAATTACAGTACTTAATGGTACTGTTTACTTTACTAACAATTAACTTAATTGTTTGTAAAGTAAACAGTACCAGGGGCAATAATTAACCTAAATACAGATATTATAAGAGTACATAAGAGGTAAGAGAGTATTTACGTTTCGCGTCCTTCATCGTTTTCAGGGCAGACTGAAGCCTTTCCAGCATTTTGTCCTGATAGAGTTTCTAAATCCAGCTTCAAATCCAGAGAATTCCTGACACGGAGTCTTTAATCTACATATAATATTACAAAACAATGAAAAAAATGGAGAAAACAAGGACTGTTCAGGTGTTTTTTCCCCTCAGAACAGAGACACTGAGGAGGCTTGCACAGACAAAACTGAACTGAGGAAAAGAGAGAGGGGGAGAGGCTGAATGAGTGCAGAGAGAGAGAGAGAGAGAGAGAGAGAGATCACTGAAGGGAGGGATGTTGAGTGAAAGCATGATAGGGAATACGTGGAAAATAAAAGTGATTTAATACCACACTGATTCATTGCAAAACTATCAGCCTGAGACTGTGAGTGTGTGATATTTACAACTATATATCGGAATTTATAGTACACACATACAGTACACACACACAGTACTTTATATACAATAGCTTGGGGTCAGTAAGTAACAAATTTGATACTTTTATTCAGCAAGGACACATTACAAAATTACACACATTTCTAAGGTTATAAAAGATTAAGGTTTTTACTTTAGTGTCCACTTTTATAACTAATTGCTTATTATTATGTATGATACTAGGATATTGGCTGTTTATTAGTACTTTATTAATCCAAAACACATATTAATGCCTTATTCTGCATCCCTTATTCCTGCCCAATACCAGGGAATAAATAGAGTTAATAGTTAGAATTGATCCCTAACCTAAAGTGTGACCAAGATATTTATTTCAAAAAAATGCTGTGCTTTAAAACTTTCTATTCATCAAATTAACCTGAAAAAAAAAAAAAAAAAAATCAAGAAGACTGGAGTAATGATGGTGACATTTTTAGCTTTGCCATCACAAGAATAAATTACATTTTAAAATATATTAAAACAGAAATGAATAAACTTACAATATAATTGACAATATTACTGTTTTTTATCAAAAAAAATTTTTATCAAATAAATCCAGCCTTGGTGAGCATAAGAGACTTCTTTCAAAAACATTTTTTTTCAATACCTACAAATTCTGCCATTTATATTTTCAGGTATAAATATTTGATTAATTTTCAAGTATTTTATAAATTGTATAATAGATCATCATAGAAATATGGCTGATTGGATTCTATTTGGTTCATTTCAAAATTAAAAAAAGGCAAAAATGTTTAAACAACAATACATTTCAAATCTGAATGTTATACCTGAAAAGAAAGCTTATTTTGGATAATGTAATGTAATAATTCATTAACTATTATAGTAAATATGAACAATTATTCAATTCATGAATCAATGCATTAAATTACATTGATGCAATGTCTAGTTATTAGAAACCTTTAGTTCTATGAAGTACTGTGTGCATGTAAACTGTAAACAAAACGATAAAGAAAACATGGAAAACAGACAGATCACAGCGGTTCTTTGTTGGAAATCTATTTTAAAAAACAGAAGATGTTTATCTGCTAAACAATAAAGCCCAAATGACAATGAACAAGTACTGGACTTCTAAACAACTGGCAAAAAGGACAATGCACAAGAAAAAAAAAGAGAGAGAATGAAAACAGGAAAAACTGCTCACTCAGGAAACTGTTCCATTTGTTGTTTCACACAACAGTGCTGGACAAACCATGACCTCACTCAGACTTTAACTTATCTTAACACACTCAGAGCAGTGATGCACAAATCCTTCAAGCGCATTTAATAACTGATAAAAAAAACAACAACTAGAAACGTCTTCTAAAAAATAAGAGAGCTAAGCCTCAAATCAAGTGAAAGAAATCATAATCACTCTGCTAGTTAGAGATTTTCTGTGCACATGCTTATTGCATAATGACATGACTCAGACGTCCAACATGCTTAGAGGGGTAAAATGCCCTTTTTCTCTACAATTTATTTATTTATTTTTTTGGCGATGATGATTCACCTGGTCTTCAAACAGCAATACAGGCAGAATTATAGAGTCTCTCCCCTCTGTGATAATTGCTTTACGCAGACGGACTATATATTTCCAGGGTATATCATTTTGATTAAATAATGTTGTAATGTATAACTTATTTGTTTGGCTTCCAAGTACCCGAATAACCAGATATAAAACAAACAATGCAAGGTCACATCCACTGGCCAGAAAATAAAAAATGCAGATCATGTTCCACCCAGCCTGTACTTACTTCCATTCACTACGTCCTGTGATGCGATGACAAACCCGAATCCCTCTCCTGGTCTCCGTCTCAACTCCACCTCCATCGCTCTGGAGGAGACCACTCCCCTCGCGTCTACATGGCTTTTGGACACCGCGCCGAGGTTAGAGGCAGCAGTACGGCTCCACTGAGCAGGTCCGTCCTCAACCCCTAACCAGTCCCGGGGCTCTAGGGTCAGGGTCACGGGCACAGAGTCCAGGAAGCTGGTGCTTTGGACCAGGTTGGGGAGGTCACTGCAGGGCGAGGAGGGAGAGAGGGTGCTCTGGCTGGGCACAGCACCATCAGAGGAGGGTGACGTCAGATCTGGGGTGCCCAGGGAGGGAGGAGGTCTTTTATAGGCATTTGGGGAGCCTGGGGAGCAAAGAGGACCTGAGAGAGAACAGGATAATGATGAGTGATGGGGGCAGGAGGAACTGATAGATTTGTCCAGCTACTGTTTATTTATATTGAATTAATCCTAAATATAATAACAATTCGTGATAAATATATAGAAATAATATGTGGTCAGATATGTGCATTATATTATATTATATTTTATAGTTATGTGACAATATTATTAAACTTTTTTTATTTTAATATTAGCTGATATTAGATATTTAATTGTACACAGTCTTTTCTCTTTTTACATTTAGATCACCATTGCAGTCACTTAAATTTAATCTTTAAAAACACAAATAATTAACATTTACAAATATTAAATGTAATTTTTACGTAATCTTAAATCTCAAAATGAATATTATTTTTTCATACTGAACATTATAATGTTGTAATGCCTTTAGTTTTAGTTTTTTTAATAGTATAGTTTTTTTTTTTGCATTTTGTTTGACAAATTTTTACAAAATCTTAAATTTGACAAAACACTTTTTTTTTCATTTGTTCTTTTGCAGTGTTTATTATAATAAACGATCTATCTGCATACAGTGTGGGTGACACTCACTTCCTCTGTAAACCAGTAAGACCACCTCACCCTGTTTGGTATGTTCTTGCAGCACCCGCTGCACCTGTTCATATGAAGAAAAAAAAAAAAAAAAATCAAACGAAAGGATTCAAATTTAGACGGTTTATGAGGGAAGAGTTTCAGAAAAAGACTTGCAGAGTTATTGAATTTACCTGTGCGAAGCTGAGGCTCTGCACATCAGCGCCATTGATTTTAATAATGGCATCCCCTGGCTGTAAGGAGGGGCACTGTCGTCTGTCCCAGACCCTCTTCACCACTGCCAGCTGCCCTCCTTGCCCCCCAGCCGTCACACTGAAACCCATACCCCCTCCCTCGCTCCTGCCCAAGGCCACAGGTACCAGCTCACCCCCTCCCCCACAACCTACCCCACCCGGGGCTCCGGGGGACCCTAGGCCACCCGGAAGAGGCCGCGGGGGATTGTTGGCTGGACACCCGTTGAAACCACAGGGTGGGTGCTCGGTTGGGGGTACGACGGCAAGAGATGTTTGGGGCATGGGAGGCCGCTGGGTGCTAGGCGCTCCTGGTGGCGGCGCGGTAGGACCCACCTCGGGCCGGGGCAGGGGCAGCGTAGCAGAGGAGAGATCGCTCTCGGAAGACTTGGAACTATGATGGGTGTGAGAAGGAGCTGGAAGAGTGTTGTTGTTGTAGCTTCGGACAAGGGAAGCTCTGGGTAGAGAGTGGAGGAAACAAATGCGTGCGTCAACAGAACAGCATCAATAATAATAATAATGGTAATGAACATGGTTGTGATATTATGTAACCATGTTTATTTGTTATTATTAAAGTTAATAATAATGATTATCATCATTATTATTATTACCATGTTCCTTAATGATAATCATTACTATTAATAATCATTAACACAGATGTTTTTAATCATTTATAACAGATAAAAATATGCTATTATATAGTTATGATTATTAATAATAATAATTATTCATATTATTACTACCACCATATTCATTACTGATAATGACCTGATTAGGTCATTTCGGATTGTATTTGTATGTGTATAAATTACATGCTGTATTAGCTTTAGGCTATGTTTACACAAAAGTGTGTGATATTCAATGTAGTATGCTCTCCAGGCGCCTAGGTGGCAATGTGGAGCACTGCCACACAAAAACACCAAGTCCACGCTCCTGCGTACAACCTTCACTGTCTAGCAGACTTTTGCGTTTTTACCGTATACACGGGAACACGGCGGTGGAGTGTTTTTAAGATTTCCACTCTGGAGGGTGGTTTCACTTTTTTTTAAGCCCCCAAAACGCCTATGCCGTATAATCATCCGATAAAATATTTTTACGTTTTCACCCGTGAGCGTTCTCGTGTAAACAGGGGCTTATTCTATGATTAGACTTTTTTAATGCCTTTCTAGGGACCCGAAACACAAATTAGCTTATGCTATACTCTTGATGTGCAATACAGATTTTCCAGTTTTCGACTGGAATCAAGGTTTTTATCCTGTCCCTATATAAATAAACTTGAAATAAAAATAAAATAAACAACATATTTATATATTATTATTAATAATAATAATAAACCCAGCTCGATAAGCAATTCTGGTTACCTGCGTGTGACAACAGAGCTGACCTCCGTATCGCTGTGACTAGAGCTCATTCGCTCTGATGGGGGAGGGGCATTTGTTAAAGGCACCGCCCCCAATCCTAAAGTCCCTCCCACTCCATTTCCATTGACCATTGAGTAGGAAGGCTGGGGTGCTGTGTTCCCGTTCGCATCCAAGGCCTCTTTCTGCATGCGGGGGTAGAAGTTGTTGTGGTGGGACATGGAGCGATTGAGGTTCACCAAGCCAGGCTGGTGTCCATCAGGATGCTGAACCTGGGATTGAGCAGAACTGGGGGCTGCAGGTTTGGCACTGGTTGGATCGGAAGGGGATGCGAGGCTTGTTTTGGGGCAGCCATCAGGGTTGTAGAGCATGGGGTAACCTCGACGAAGAACCACATCCACACTGTGACCCATGGGGACGGATTTCAGCATTTCTACCACTTCTTTATGGGACAGACCCAGCACACACAAGTCATTAATGTACACCAGGATGTCCGCTGAGGGAGAGAGAGACATTTCTGTCATTTGTATTTGTACACGACGGAAATCGAAAGCAATCAGATTCTCATTTTGTGAGTACACAAGTACTAAAGAGGTCATATCATGAGGAATCAAAAATGGCCTTAATCTTCATCAGTGTACAGTAAAACCCTACTGTAGCTTTTAAAACTTCCAGCCAGTAGAAAAAGACAATTCATTGAAACTAATGTTAGAAAGGGGAGGATGAACCCTATTTTAACAAGGTCAAATAAATCAATCACAAGGGATATAAAAAAGGGCTATCACGTGACCCTTTTAGGCAGTGAGTGTGTGTGGGTGTTGTCAGAACACGTGAGGGGACAGTGGCGTGTGTAATAGAAGGCAGATTAAAACCTACAGCCCCATCTGGATTAAGAGAAGATCAGGAGATTCAAACCATGACCCTCCAGATCACCAAATACATACACGTATATACAGGCATAATAATCTAATCCACAGAGAAGAGAGAAAGAGAAAAAGCGCGAGTTTCATGGGATTTCCTGCCAAAAATAAAAGTGAGGATTGGAGGGATAGATTAGGATGGGGAGAGAGAGAGAGGAAAAGCAAACTGCTCATGCTCCTGACAGTAAAAATCTACCTTTTATCCATCTGGTCCTTTTCTCTCCCCTGGTCTATAAATGAGCTGACTTAAATCCAGATCTATGGGGCTTTTTGTCTTCTTTTAAGTGTAAAAAGAGGACATTATAATCAGCAGAACTATTACACCACATATGATTCACAACGTCCTTAAGAGTCCCCTGGCCAAATCTATGCGTGTTATTAAATTATTATATCTATCATACATCTATAAATATTTAAAAAGCTGACCCATTGAAGTGCCATCTCCTGTGCTGCAGATTTATACAAAAGCAGCAAAAAGCAAAAGCCACTTAGCAGTTTCCAACAGAGAATACTGGCGTTGCCAGGGTAATATGAATGCGGCATGCAGGAAAATCCTCAATCCTTTCTCATTTCGCCTAATCGCCACTCCAGTGCGTTTTTTTTTTATTGCGAAATTAGAATATATGTTAAATAGCTTAAATATATATTTTTTTTAACATAATTTCCATTTAATTCAGCTAATGCCTTTCCACATATTACTACATGTGTCATTAAGGAAAGCAAAACAAGAACTGCTTTAGGTAACATTTTCTTTTGAATAACAAAAAAGATTTAAAGAACAATAATTATAATAGTCATTGATTGCAATAAAAGTATAAAAGCACAAAACACAAAAATGTTCAGGTCTCAGACTTTTGAAAACTATAATAAAAATAATAGTACATACAGTACCAGTTTTACATGGTCAGTGTTTGCAATACAGCGCCAGCTGCATTGGTGTTTTAATATTTTTTTTTTTTAGGGTTAAAACTCCTAGTCTCACCTGTTTTGAGTGCAGATGGGCCTCCTGGGGTGACGCTGTACACCTGCAGGAACTCACGAGGTCTACTGCCACCCACAATGTTGAAGCCAAACCCACGAGGCCCTTTCGACAGGCGAGTGTGTATGGAATAGCCCTTCAGTTCAGATGGTTGGTCTGTGAATGCAGGTACTAATTGACAGCGACACACAAACATAGAAATAAGTGTCTACATGTGGTATGCTAAGTCCACAAAAATCTAACAATGCCTTCAAGCCTCATCACGACATTGTTTTAGGATGGAGTTGACTGCTAAACAACAGTGCCATCTGCTGGGATGTGAGCTTTGCAGCTTATAATCTGAATAAATGGTTCAATCACACACTTGTATCTAGGGGAGTACTTTTTTAATTTTAAAATACTTTATGCTATTAAGCCTAGTAAGCCATTTAAACACCACTTTCCAAAACACTGTCTATTTCCAAAACAGCTAACTATCACACTACATATACATACTAAAATGTAGGGTACACAACAGTGCACTTTGAAAGGCTTCTTTTTCCCCCACAATGCAAAGTGCTCGAGTTGGCTTTCCATCTCCTAGGTGACAATTACCCAAAGTACAGTATAAGTTTTCTAGTTTTTGCATTTTGTTCTTGACTCATCAATTGCATAGACAGCTAAAAGTATTTTTATAACCACATTTACTTCCACCACTTACATTAAACATGTAATTTGAAGAGGTCATGTGACAATGTAGCATACTACTTTCAGAAACCTGCATAATGCATATACTATTTTTTAAACAATAGCAGACAGTATACCACATACACTACACACTATATTCAACTACTTTTTCAAATTCCTAAAACTTCTCCAAGCTTAGGTTAGATTTTAAACACATATCATATTATTTTTTTCATTTTAGTTTCAGAATTCTGGTGCCCACTTGTATCTATTCACATACATGTGCACACGTGGGCCTCTTACACACGTGCATTGTAACAGATGTAATGGCTTCTGAAAACCGTTCAGCTCAGAAGGGATAGCAGACATGACCTTCTCAAATATAAGAGAGCATGCTTTGAGTGATAGATAACATTAAAGGGAAAAGAGAGATGAGAGGTGAAAGCCAGCAGGGAGGGACGAGGGGATTGTGGATAAGGTTTAAAAGGCAAGGAAAACAAGCTATAAGATGAAGGCGTGAGAGAAAGACTAGATGGCTCCAGGAAGGTTTGTCATTAATCTTTGTATGAAGACTGCAGAGAGAGTGAGGGTGTGTTAGGGAGTAAAATGTGGAGAGGGGCCAAGCTCACACACACACACACCCATGCACATATATGCACTCACACTCCGTCTTGCTGACAATCTCTTTGCCCTGAGTCCTTGGGTCCAGCCAGCTTGTGGTCTTTGAGTTATGGCTGAAAAATGAAAGAAATTAGAGACTTTTCTCCCCCACAAGGTTTCATCAGCGACATGAAATATACAACAGCAGTACAGAGAGTAAAAAACATTAAGCGCACCTAATTTTCATAGATAAAGGCAAAGAATATGCATTTTTATTGATGCACATCCTTAAGTTCAAACGTCACCTTTTTCTTTGCATTAAAAACACTTCCAACGTGATAACTAGACTCCATCCGCTGAATTCAAAATTTTTCATTGATGCACATCTTAAAGTTCAAATGTCGCCTTCGCATGTCAAAAATCCAATGTGACATAGAAAGACATCATGTCAACTTTGAGTATAATCTTTGATTACTGGAGGAAGCAAATGACCTTCTGTCTCTATTTTTGCCCACTCTGTCCGACTATACCATCTTATTTTTTCCTTTTTCCCCTGCTGACTCACTTGATGTAATAGGGTTCGCCCGTGTCACTGAACGCCAGCTCCCAGTTTTCAGGCAAAGCCCCTCCACGTGCTCCGTTCTCCATGGCAACCCCTCCATCCCGCCCACCGCCTGAGTCCCAAGTCTGATTAGGTGAGACAATGGTGGTGGGAGGGGCACTGCTGGCTCCGGCAGACCCCGCTGGGGAACAGAGAGTAGAGTACAGTGAACATGACATGAGATGTGGCCGTCTTGTATAATCTTAGGCTACCTCAGGCCAGCGAGAGGTCACGCTGTTCATGTTACTCTCCTCTCTTGCCATCTCCAATATGAGAAAAGCATAAATTCTGAACACAATTCCATGGTATTTAATGTCAAAAACATAAAAAAATGCAAAAATATGTCCTGGTTGAGCTGACATCCGTTTGTATTAAAAAAATCTGCAGGTTTAAAGTAACTGCAAAATGAAGTCTATGTGAAGTCAATTCCAAATATGATGACCTTACAGGGCTAGGAAAGAAATGTGTTTTGAGGTGCCTGCATTTAAAAACACTGTACCTGATAGACCAGAGTCTTCCTCGCTGTTGTCACCTTCCTCCACAGCCTTTTCCAGGTTGCTGAGCGATTTGCTGCGGGTACGAAAATTCCTCAAGAGGTTTCGATGTTCCTGGTACGTAATGGGGGGGCTGTCAGGACCAATGTGGACCGGCCGAGGTGTGCCATAATAGTTCCCTGTTAAGACAGAGATGTTTTATAGATGCCCCCAATATAGCCCACAGTCCCAAAACTGTTCCAATCAGAAAACATTCAAATACAATGGGTTTTGGACACATTGTATTACATGCAACTGAAACAGTTCTTGACAAGACCGTCCATTTTCAACCTAAAAGCTATTGTCCTTGGAGTCAATTTCTGAGGCAGCCAAAGAACCTTTTCTTGAATTGTGGGCCAGAACACAATAATCCAGCAGCTCGAGTCAGAAGGCTTTATAACTTGAATATCAAAATTTTCAAAAACATTTTACATGAATTTATTTGATAATAGCCAAAATACAAACTATACCATCTCCATTATTCTGATTAACTTTGCAAAGAAAATGGTGCCAAAAAAAGCTTTACGATGTACAATTACCTGACATACAGACCAAAGTTAGAAACCACAAGTATTTTTTTTTCTAATTTAATACTAAATTCTTTATTATATTATCAAACGATAACATGCACTCAAGCTGGCATGAACTCACATGTCTGGCAAGAGCTTCACAAAATCTGATGATCCATGTTATCCTGCATGTTTTGAGCGAATGTTCCAAAAAGATCATCTAGTGCTTCAATAGAAAAAAAAAATCTGAACTTTCGTACCAAGCCGTTCACATGATCAGTGAGATAAATTTGATTAGTGACCTAGAAGTATTGACAAATTCATTTTACGCCCTAACATTTCTCATTTTAAACTGTTCAAAATTCTAAAACTTTCCTGGTTTAAAATGTTGTTTTAATCGAAAAGCCATTTCTAATGTGGCATGTGACCCCACTATATAGAAAGTGGAAGGTTTGTGTCACCAATTTAAATGATAAAATTATACGTCTACATTTTATCAAAAGAGAAAAAGAGACGTTTTGTTCCGCTCCTGGCTACTGCTGTTGCCCTAGATCATGCTCTCTTTAAAACCCTTAATCACTGCTGTTATGAAACTAATAAACTGACAGGATGTTCCAGAGCTCTTTTAGCAATCAGATCAATGGCAAAAATATTAGCTTAATCCACCTCTGAACATCTACCTGTAAATCTCTAAAATAAAGGCAACATAAAAACTTCAAAACAGCAGATTTTTTTTTTTTACAATATAAGTGCACTAGGAGCACAAACTTCTCAGCTATAAGAGAGTTTACTCAGCACAATAGTTAAATGTTTGGAATTTTTCAGAGATATAACTGCAGCTTATTTACAACTGGAGAAAACATGAAAAGAGAGAGAGAAAGAGAGAGGGAATGAAGGTGGAGGGGTGATTGGAGACAGAGAAACTGAAATAGGGATTATAGAGTAAAGCCTCTTTTCTCCTGTACAGAGTGATAGAAAAGTAGGAGTGTGGTGTGGTTTCTAGCTAGAGAGATGACTAATGGGCTGTGGGGCATCATCACTCAGGTGTTAAAAACACTTTTGTGGTTAATTATAGGCATATTAAACTGATAATACCAAATCTCACATTTCTAGTGTTATTTCTGGGGGGTCAGCAAGGGTTTTTTTTTTTTAAGGAAATTAATACTTTTATTAATTAATATGATACATTAAATTCATCAAAAGTTTCAGTAAAGACATTTTTTATATTATACAAGATACTTTAAATTAATCAAAAAATAATCCTGAAAAAAATGCATCATGGTTTCCACAAAAATATTAAGCAGCACAACTGTTTTAAACATTGATAAAAATGTTGATTGTGTACAAACACTGTAAAAAAAATATTTTCAAGATTTGTAATCACAACATTTTTTCTTTTGTCAAATCAACTTAATTTATTTAGTTCAGATAACTTATTATTTTGAGTTTCTGATGATTAAATTAATCTCCTTCATTGCATTAACTCACTTTTTCCAGTTCAATCAACTTAAAAATTTAAGGCAACCAGGTTACTTAATTTTTTAAGTTAAACCAACAATATTTTTTTACAGTGAAATCAGCATATTAGAATGATTTCAGAAGGATCATGTGACATTGAAGACTGCAGTAACGAGACCTGAAACATAAAATTACATTTTTAAATGTATTGAAATAGAAAACAATTTCTTCAAATTATAATAATATTTCACAATATTTCTGTTTTCTGTCATTTTCTAAATCAAATAAATGCAACCTTAGCGAGGAGCCTTGGTGAGTCTTTCAAAATCATACAAAATCTTATACCCCAAACTTTAGAACACAAGATAAGATTTTGTCCCAGTAAAAATTCCCCCAGTTTCTATTTCTATTTCAAATTTCTATTGGTGATATTGTCAGTTATTTAGAGACCATGACATTTACATCAATCATCAGTCCTTGAGTTCCCCAAAAGCATGTTTAAAAACCTCAAAACCAAACCAACAGGGGACCAAGTCGACCAAGTTGGACATAAATAAACAATATTTTTTTTTTCTTTCCAAAGACAAAAAGTGAAGTGGCACAGCAGTATCAAAACCACGAGTCAGCATATCCATAAATCCAAGAGCTGCAACTTTGAAGGATGTCATAGTGTGAATCTGCAGCTGTGTATGGGACCCTTAACAAAGACATCAGCAGGCTCAGACATCAGTCTACATTACACGCTTGTTCTCTCTCCATTAGGGCTCTTTTTCAGCTCTTTCTGCTGATAACGTTGGAGGACAGAACTGAGCCAGCACGGCACTTTTGTCCGCAGTCTGGAGGGTGCTTCTCTTAATTCTGATTGGCTTGAGCATTTTGAGCTTTGGCGTGAAGCCCTGACCCTCACCATGTGTTCACGAGCACACTCAAACTCAAATGCGCGCACACAAACTACTCAGTTGAACAGTAAATAACTCCTTCCACATCAAATTCAAGGCCTGTCTGTCCCATACGTTTGATGAACAGACGCATTTTTCACACTGATTTTTTTGTGGCATTTTGAATGTATGGAATAGAATGGTTTTAAACAAGGTAGAATGTGTAAAACATTTATATTGGTCGCGGAAAAACATGATCAAATCAGTAAAAACAAATGTGAATAAATTAATGAAAGATAGTTTCTGGAGGAGCAGATTGTTTTTTGTAGGTTTGCTCATAAGAAATTTTAAAGAACGATTGGAACTTTGGCGTTTGGTTCCAATCGTTCTTCAAAATATCTTCCTTTGTGTTCATCAGAAGAAAGAAACTCATACAGGTTTGCAACAATTTGAGGGTGAGTTAATGAAAAAATGACAAAATGTTAGTTTCATTTTTGGGTGGAGTATCCCTTTAAAGATTCAGCAGCACATTTTTTTTATCCAGGTACTTTTTATCCCTGTTTGCACTAAACCCATCTGGTGGGTTTGCAGCCAAAAAAGCTTTTATTTTTTGTTTTTATGTGACCATAGAAGCCGGTTTATTTTGGATGAGAGCAGAGGATTTTTATTTTTATTTCTTATAGGTTTTCTGACCCTAAGACTGCAATTCTCCAGCTGTGATCTTTGGCCACTCAAATTATCCTCATCACCGTGCATTAAGACAATATAGACATATGTCCTCTTCCAGGCAGATTTGTAATATCTTAAGTTGATCAAAATTTCTTATTTATTGCTCTAATGGTGGAAATGGGAACTCTGAATGCTTTGAATGCTGTATTCTTAAGTCACTTTCTAATTTGGGAAGCTCAACAACCTTTTGCTGTACATCAGAACTATATTCTTTAGTTTTACTTTTGATGGATTAAGGGAATTTGGCCTTTATATTTCTTCATTTTATTCCTGTGATACAAGAAGTCATGGCTGGACAATTTCATGTTCTTTCTCATCCTGGTGAGCTAAAAAAAAAAACCATAAATATATGAATGGGAATATACTTCAGAGATATTTTACTCATAAGAATTTCTAGGGGTACCAATACCATTTATTTTAAGTGATTTTCCACCCACAATTGTTTTACTTAAGTAACAGGTTAGATTTTTGCTAATTTTTTTGAATGACAGTGCTTGACAGGACCACACAAATTGTTGTATCTTGTATTAGACCAGTTCAAGTTTGTGCTTTGAGTACAATTCTCTCATACTGATAACTGGATGTTCAACATGGCACCTCATGGCAAAGAACTCTAAGGATTTGAGAATTTGAATTGTTGCTCTCCAAAAAGATGGCCTAGGCTATAAGAAGATTGGTAACACCCTGAAACAGTACAGGCCAGGGTCACACAGAGGTTTAGGCCTTGCAAGGGTCAATCTAAGAAGTTGAGTCCTCGTGCCGTGCGTCAGGTGCAGAAGCTGGCTTCAAAAACAGACGCATGAGTGCTGCCAGCATTGCTTCAGATGTTGCAGAAGCAGAAGGTCAGTTTTTCAGTGCTCAGACCATACGCCACACACTGCAACAAGTCGGTTTGCATGGCTGTCGTCCCAGAAGGAAGCCTCTTCTGAAGCTGGATCGTAAGAAATTAACCTGCCCAAGAGCATGAATTACAGGAACCATGTCCTATTGTCGGAGGAGACTAAGATAGACTTGTTTGGCTCAGATGGTGTCCAAAATGTGTGGTGATGCCCTGGTGCAACTGGGGGATATCCTCGAGCGGAAGATAGAGAAGAGAAGGTCCGTAATCTCAGCAACAACCTGTACAGCTCTGGTGCATGGCCAGGAGGATTAAGGCAGTGCTAGATCACAGTGGTGCTCACACAAAATATTGACACTTTGGACACAGTTTTGACATGTTCACTTAGGTTGTACTCAAGCAGCATATTGTATACAAGCAGCACATTGACTACTCTAAAATCTATCCAAGTTGAGAAGATGTACTAAAATGTTTGCTGAGATGTGAGGATTGTACTCACTTTTGTGAGATACTGTGTATATATATATATATATATATATATATATATATATATAAATAAAGAGTTTGGTTGCAAAACGTGACAAACGGCATTTAAAAACATTTTGAGTACCCGTACAAATCAGTATTGTATTTGGTTGATATTGAAAAGTGCATTTTCAATTTTATGTAAAATGCGATATCCTCCGTGTTATTCTGTCATGTTTTCTCCCTTTCCTTCCAAACCGCGACAAATCCCAGTCTCCCTTCGCTACAGAATGCGATAAATCCGCTCAACCAATCACAGCGCACCATTCCACGCATAGTAAACAGTAACGGCGGTGCTTTAAATACACCCGGCATCCTAGTTTTCCTTATCAACTTTGTACTTTGCGATGAACAAACAAACAAAAATTATAATTTTGACAGCATTGAACCACTGGTTTAGATGCATAAAGTGGATATAAAAGAGAGACTGATTCTGACCTTTGAACTTCCCACTTTCCAGCAGTGCTCCAGACTCTTCCAGGGAGAAGAATTCCTCAATGGAGACAAAGTTATAATCCACCCCTGAGATCTCTCCATCCCGCGGTTGCCTGGTTGTACCTGGGTCAGGGTAAAGAGAGCAAGCATATGACTGTAATCATCAAAAAATACAATGTTTGTTCTTTTTGCTTAACTTATCAAAAATACATATAAATTTGTTACAAATAGACAACAAGCCATTTAAAAAGAGAACGTAAAAATAGGAAGGCTATAGTGCTACAGACACATGGGACATTTTAAAACATCGCTCATTATTTTTTCATAAACTTGCATCTTCCCTTTGCTAAAAAATCTAATGCATCTTTGAGGAAAAAAAACATCCTGATGACATCACCAGGAAGCCAGTCTCTTTGATCCACAGACCTCAGAGAAAACAGACACACAGCTGTCACACTGAACTTGTAAAAAGTTGATTGGCCTTGATATGGAAAAGAGTTGGAGTTTAATGTATGATGTGAGTGTCAAATGCGGGTAAAGGCAGTTAGGTTACAGCGTTCGTTTACATACTAAATGTATATCAAATAAACTGTGCGTGTGTCAATTTGCATATGACTTCGGTGGAGTGAGGCGACAACTGATTATGATTTCAAACACTTCAGACATGCTCTATAATCCCACGGTGATGAGATTATACAACTTTCTCTCAGTTTAATTCCATCTCACACGAAAGTTGGCACAAGTGGATTTTCCTTAGGTAGATAAGCAGTGCATCACAATTTAGGCTAACCTGATCACCGCAATTCTGGCGATTCAGAAGAGATACAGTAGGAAACCTGCATGCTTTGATCAATCGAACTTGCCAACATAACAAATGGCTCTGAAGCAAAAGTCTTCAGGAAGAGAAAAGGTTTATGAGGTAGTGCACCTATTGCAAGGATACAACACACACAGTTATTCAACATCAAGCAGGATTGTAATGACTTAAAAGCCTTCAGCCACCATATACAATAAATCAGCCATTCATAACAAAACACTGCATTGTCCCAGAGTATTACACACCCCATGTATAACATCACAGTGCCTGTATTGCATTAATCCTAATGACAGCCAATGCAAAAAGAGTGAGTGTTTCCCCCCCCCCCTTTTGAAACAATGACGTTTTTACGCAACACATTTGAACCCATTACATTCACTCTGAAATGAATGTGTAGGATGAGACATTAAGGATTTAGACACAGAGGAATTTTTACTTCCGTAATAATGTGACCGATTTAAATTGGAGATTTAACAAGAGCAAAACATTTTTATCCATCAAAAAACTGATTGGATTGTGAAAAGCAAGAGAAAAATATCAGAACGGAGCCAGGTGGTCAGGGTTGAAATATAGGGATTTTGTGATGTCAGCTGGAAAGAACAATTGAGCAAGTTATCACATCTTGACAAAAGATTACTTTTTTCTCTTTGGGAACAACACAACACATACTGGTGAATTATGCACAGTATAAGCAGGAATGTGTATTACAAAAGTAAATGTTGATTTCTGTACATGCAAACCATTTAACATGACGTTTTGCACCTGGTTAAATATCGCCGCATGCTTTTGTACTGACACACCTGTGCTATTTTAACTTAAAAGAACATAAAAGAGGAGCATCTTACAGTACACAGTCTTCTAATTGCCTGCAATCAATTCAGAGATGTGACGTTTTGAATAAACGGGAACGTTATTTGGGAAAGCCTTTCAGTTTGAGTAGACAGGCTGTGCAACTGAACCGATAGATTAAGCGTTATGTGAATGGATGCACGAAAATGCGCAAGCATGTGTGAATGGGTCTGTGTTTGGGTGCTTATGCGCTTATGCATATGTGCAAGCGCAGGAGTGCTGAAAGGCACAGCAGGGTACCTCAGGCTGAAGACAAAGACAAATGTGCAGCTTTGAGATCAAGAGCAGGAAATAGGCAAAGTTTGAATCATGCAGGATGGATTAAATGCATCAGCTGTGATGGTGAACGGGAGCCTGATGCCGACGTGAGCTATACATTAATAAATGCATGAAATGATTTCTGAAAATAGTTGCCGTTTTGTTGCAAGGCAAAATATGGAACAGTGCCATTCACAATGAGCGCACGGCTGTGACATTTGATGACAGTTGCCAAGGCAACGGTTAAAGTGCATTGCATTGCCTCAAAGTGACTGAACCTTTGACTCTGTATGAGGTTTGACATGATTGTAAACTGGATTTGTTTACAGTCTCTGAGAGCATTAAAGCATGAGATTGCATGCATGCTTTTTCTGGCTGATGTATTTCAAGATCTCATTTCTCATATGCGTGAACTTCAGGCCAAGGAACCCTTGGTTGATAGCGAGAAGAAGCAGGGAGCCATTTTACATATTGTATACATAATCTTGTGTAGCCAGGCCTGTGACTAAAAAGCATGAGGTTTAAACCATTTTGGATTGTAAAATTAACTTAAATAATGGGTTGGGAGTCTCTACAAATAGTTTTATCGAAAATGAAATACTACTGTTCAACTTTAATGACAAACATGGCCAAATCCGGTGATTATTTCATCCAACAAAAGCACTTGTTGTGCCAATATGGTATCTTGTAAACATGACTTTGTTTTCAAACGGACTGATGAAAAAAAGAGAAAAAAGACCTTTGTTCATCTTCAAATGAAGATATTTTTGATGAAATCCGAGAGGTTTCTGAACCACCCATAGGCAGCAACAACTTTTAAGGCCCCGAAAGGTAAAGACATCATTAAAATAGTCGATGTGACAACAGTGGTTCAACTGTAATGTTATGAAGCGACAAGAATACTTTTTATGGGCAAAAAAAAACAATATATGGACATTATTCAACAAACAATGCAGCACTTCCGGGTTCTAAGTCAAAACGTAGGCTCACTATTGGCCAATTCTGGTCATGTGAGCACAATGACGTGTGTGATGCTGACACAGAAGCTAGCTACTTGAATAAAGTCATTATTTTGTTTCTTTGCACACAAAAATTATTTTCGTCGCTTTATAACATTAAGGTTGAAACATTGCAGTCACATATTTTATCAATGTCTTTACTACCTTTCTGGGCCTGAACGAGGTTTGAAACAGCAAGAGGGTGAGTAATTAATGACAGAAATTTCATTTTTGGGTGATCTAATGCCGGGGACACGCTTAACGACTAGTTGAAACGTTCTAAGACTGAACTGAACACACTTACAGACCGTTTGCAGCAGATTTTAAACACCAACTGCGAACACCGACTGACGCAACGGTCTCTGACTTGGAATGGGCATGACGTTTGGGCATGATCAGTCGTGAGTATCAAATTAGATTCATAATTGGTGTGTCCCCAGCTTAACCCTTTAAAAAGCCCAGTATTACTGCATTATGTAGGTGTTTGGTTCACTCACAGGGCACGGCGCGCAGGTAGAGGTTCTCTCGTATGACCTGTTGGAGTTGGCTGTCCATTGATCCAGGGGTAAAACACTTGCTCAGGTAAAGTCTCAGATCCTTACAGAGAGTCGAGCCTGCAGATTACAAACAAAACACATGAACGAGAATGCAGTGGAGAGATTTGAAACCACTTTTAAATAACAGCACTGTTGCCAAATTCACAAATAGAACACTGCTGTCACCATGGAAATATGAGAAAAAAGGTGAACTGGCAAAGTGAAACTGCCAAAGATGCAGTTCTGAAAATACACCATAAGATCGATAAGGGTTAAACGGTCTCTCCCCCTGAATTCAGTCCTAATACTGCACACCTCAGGTTACTACAGTAACACCTTAGACCTCACAGACACATTCAAGCATGCTGCGACTGCACTGCAACTGCAGAAGTCTCTAAGGTCAGTGTGCTGTTGTCACAAACAAGCACTGCGGATCACCTAACGAGGACCGCTCGGCTTCTCTGTATTGATTTTTGCACCTAATATAATCCGGTGGTCCTTTACGCACACAATCTCAACACATGGACTCCTCAAGGACTCATGGGAAAGGTAGGATGAGTCATTTCCCGCTGATCTATTCATTTTTTAAAGTGCGTTATGACCTTAGATGACAGCCAGCTTCCTTTCGCGCAAGATATTGATGGTCTTTATGCATTGTGGACTGGGATTGCCCGCCCCGTTACTCGCCAGTGCCGGGCTCCACCCGCCCCACGCTGACAGCGATCAATCGGGCCAACCAGGGCAGAGAGTTCTGGAGAGGTTAAGTAATAGAGAGAGGGATATCACATCCACTTAATGTCTGACACTGAAATGTGGGAAGGTGGACACCTGTCATAGCTATTGGCAAATCAGGATCCTTTTTACATACTGTTTTGAGAAAAAAAATACTGTGTGGACTAATCTAAGTTGTTTTATCCAAGCACAACAGTGGCAAGTGATATTACACTTTGACAGTAATTTGGTTTTCTCGTTCTTTTTGTATATAATAAACATCATACATGGAGGAGGAGGAGATTGGTTGTGGATTGGTTAAAAAGCATTTGATAAAACCTGAAGTTCTTTAAGGAAAGATAAGGAAACGAAAGTTCTTTAAGGAAACGAAACAAAACAGATGTTATGTAAATATACTATGTGTCATTCAATTTTCAAATAAACCGAAGCTTTTCAGCAGACATTACTCCAGTCTTCAGTGTCACATGATCCTTCAGAAATCATTCTAATATGCTGTTTTGGTGCTCAAGAAATATTTATTTTTATTGTCAATGTTGAAAACAGTTGTGCCGCACAATATTTTTGTGGAAACCATGATAGATTTTTCAGGATTCTTTGATGAACAGAATGATCAAATGAACACCGTTTATTTGAAGTAGAAATCTTAGTGAAATATTAATGTTTTGTAACAATATCAATGTTAAAATATTCTTACTGACCCCAACATTTTGAAAGCTAATGTATAATTAATTCAATAGAATAAAAAAAAGATGAATTTTCTACTTTGATTATTTCCTAGCCTGGATGACAGCAAAATTTAGCCCCGCCCACAACATTTCTGACTTAGATTCTGACTAGAATCTGAGTATGACGACGTCAGGCTAGTTATTTCCATAAATACTGTAACTATTCTACTTCCAAAAATTCTACTGTAATTAAACCAAGCAGCAAAGTTGCTATACTCAAGCATTCAATACCTAAAAAAAACTATAATCTCTGAGTGATAGTTTTGTTGTGGGATTTAATTAATAAAAAAGAGAATTCTTTTAGAATTCTTGTTTGTTATACAAATGATGCTGTATCTCACAAAAGGAGGAGTAATTTGACATTCTTGTTAGTTCAAGACATTCTCTCTACAAATCTGAGAGAGTGAAAATGCCTTCACTGAGCATTAATTTATGCTGTCAAAACCAATTTTAGAAATTAATAATATGAATATAGTAAATAAAATCCCCATGGAGATTCTGGAAGTAATGTATTCAGAGTGGCTAGATTAGGATAATACAATCTTCCGGCAGAATGACACTAACGTGACATGTCAACACTGTGATCTACTTGGGGCTGTATAATGTCAGTAGGTATAAAGCTCTTAAACATCCAAAGTATTTAAAAGTGCAACAAAATGCAGATAAAACCTATAAAATAAAGGGGTTTGTTGTACTAGCAGGCAGCCTTGTGAGTAAAAATTTGGATTAGTAATTATAAGGTCACTAAGTTTAACCCCAGGCCTATGAATTAGAAATTTAAAATACCTAATAGGAACATTTCACGTAAAAATGAACATTCTGACAATCAAATTTATAAAATTGTTATGAGACTCATTTTGGAGTTTGACAGCCGCAGTCCTTTCATTTTTATTATATTAAAGAGAAAAAAGGCCAGGGTATCCTTAAAAATATAGCTTTTCCACAAAAAGAAAAGATAAGAGGGTGAGTAAAAGATAATGAAATGTCTCTTTGAACGACAAAAATCTAAATCTTCTGTCAGTTGTGTATTGTTAAAAAAATATATTCAGGAAGTCTTTCCTTTGCATTGTCCTACTCTTATCTAATGCAAAGAAAGAGTTGGATCAGTGCAAAAACTCATGGTGTCACCCAACAGTCAATTTGCTCTAATCGCTAAAAAAAAAAAGTACCTGGTAAGACGGTTTTGATCCGAATGGGATGTGGACATGAGTTCAGAACCCCTCTTACATCTCCCAAGGTCAATCCCAGGACAGGTGTACCTCCAATTTCTAAGATGACGTCACCAACAGTGGCTCCACCCCCAGGTGCTGCTGTAACAAATGGGAACTCTCCATAATCTGCACCACCTCCAATGGCCACACCAAGCTCTCCCGAGGCTCCGCCCAGTGGGACGAAGCTCTCCTGCACTTTTGAGCGCCAGTGCAGCTTCTTAACAGTGGCCTTAGACATGTTGACAGCGCTGGAAGAAACGAAAAAGGAAAGACATTGTTCAAACATGTTTATTTGTTGTTTGCAATTGCAAACATTAAAAGGGAGATTTGCCGACTGAAAAAAATATACCTTAAACCAGCCTAGGCTGTTGATCACAATGGTCCATTGCCTTGTCTTAGGCACTTTTCATCTAGTCAAACTGTGATTTTAGCTGACTACCCCAGCTAAACCAACAAAAGACTAGCTTGACCAGGTTAGAAGAGCACCAGTATTGGGTTTTTCAGTAGGGTTGACTATGAATCAGCATCTTTGCACAATCAGTATAGTTTTATTTAATGCCATGTCAGCATCTGTGGCTATGTTCAAAGCAAAAAACTGAATTACAAAAATACAAGTTACATACAGTATAAAAATCAAAACCTACAGCTGGGCCTTCTCCTTTGAGCTAAAATGTACTGGTATGTGTCAATCTTGTATGACCTATAAGATATCTAATGAACACCACTTAATCAAATCTTGTTTTAAGGGAGATTAAAAGTCTGTTGGAGATTTCAGGGTTGATTTTGTACACATTTGTTTGTACTCTTTTTGCCACCTATTTAATATATAAAGGTTGACAGTAGGTCTAAGGTCTGAGGGAGCAATTTGACATTTTTCTATGTCCAGATTAATAGCCTCCTTTATTCAGGTTAACCAACCTATTATGGTTTTCAAAATAGGTTAATTGAATATGGATAAATTCAGATCATTTTGAAATGACATTTTGAAACCTCAAACACCTTCACTGTGCATCTCATATCATGTACAGTATGTGCCATAATATTAGTTTAATGGTTACAGCAACAGCCTTAAAGCTCCAGTCCACATTTTTCCATCTTTGTCGCCAACTCTGTTCGAAATCTGCAATTGCAATCATTCGCGGAATTATCAACTTTACGCGAGTTGTAGTTCGACATGGCACAGCGCCGATGAACACATTGAGGAGAGTGTGCAGCTATCAGTCTGCTGGCTGTGTTCTGGTTCTGACATTGCAGTAAATCGTTGATTAAATCTAAAAATCGTTTATCATCACGCAAAACTTGCTTTGTTCTCATCTTGTTAATGTTAACAACGTCAGAATTGCGTGACTACATATGTTGTCCTTCCGATATGTATTTTCTGTAAGTTAGCCACTCCGGAGTCCGAACAAAGTTTTTGGATTTTACAGCGCATGAATCTGTTGTCACTGGTGATTGTCGTTTGAACCTTTCTGGATCCGCCATCAAACTGATAAGTTTAATTACATCAAGTGCTGTGAGAAAAGGCTATAAATCTCCACCTCCAACATCCACACACGCAACGCAACATAGCCGACTAGCCGAGACTCCTTCTTTATGTGTACAGATGTGACATAATGACGCAAAGACATGCTTGAATCTCCCGCGGAAATCCACCATTACCACTGGAATTAAAATCATTATTACAAGCTTACCGTTTTGAATCGAGCTACGGCAAGCAGATAGTTTTGAACACTGGCTGGTTATGCATTTCCTCAAATATGTATTTTGGATAATTTTTAACCCCCCCAAAAAAGCTACGGACTGCAGCTTTAAGAAAAAAAAAGTTTTAATAATATATTAAAGTACTGGGTCAGTAAGATTTGTCAAAACTGAAAATTCAGGTTTGTCATCACAGGAATAAATTACATTTTAAAATATATTGAAATTTTAAATCGTAATAATATTTAGCAATATTACTATATTTACTGTATTTGTGATCAAATAAATGCAGACCTGGTGAGCATCAGAGACTTTCGAAAACAAAAAAAACCTTACCAACCCCGAACTTTTGAATAGTACTGCACTGTACTGTATATGAAGTGAACAAGATACGACTTTTTTTTAATACAAAGTAACTTTTTATTGTATTTATTTAGTTTACTAAAGCTGAGGACATAGTCCACTAAAACAGTAACAAAAAGGATGAAACGGCGTAAAAGTCAAATACATATATAGAATGACAATATACATCCCATAACTCTTCAACGGCACATTTACGTGAGTCCCAGTGGTGTTCCACAAGCAATACACATGATACGAGTCTCCAAATTGAAACAAAACAAGCAAACAGATGGTCAAAACGCAGTGGGGGTGATATCCACAAACACAATTTACACAATCTCATTAAAAATGCATAGATCTATTTCAGGTGTCACTGATTCTGCAACCAAAAACGTACACGTTTTCATCAGCAAAATTGTCTGGGGCTTTCCACTAAACATTAAATTAGAAAAAAAAAAAAAAACTGTATCTCAAAGGACCTGCCAAATTACGCATCAGGTTGGCTGCAGAAGGCTCTCTCTCTTTCTCTCTCTCTCTCTCTCTCTCTCTCTCTCTCTCTCTCTCTCTCTCTCTCTCTCTCAGCATGTGTGTCCCTGTTGCTTAGCCATATAGCAACTCATATAGTCTCTCTCTATATGAATCAGCAGCTAAAGATACAAACATACAAAGAAAAATTAAAAAGGTAAATAATTTGCACACGCTTCAACTTCCTGATTACAACCCTCCAGTGCAAAGATCACACACTAGTTAATGCATCATCTGATATACATCAGCAGGGATGGGGAGGGTGGCCTGAGTGTTTAAATGAACAGTACTAACAGAGTTACATAGTTACAGCTACACCATTGCAGTAAACTCAAGGAGGGGAGGAGAGGAGACCGTGCATTCTGGCGCTGCGGGTCTTTTCCATTACCTCACAGAGAGAGAGAAAGTTAGATCTCCAGGTCTCACAGACTCTGCCTGGGAGCCGTGGAGAAATAGCGGCGCGAGTCACCTTAAAAAACTGAAAGCAAGCAGTGGCGTGAGCACTTCAAACGTTCGGTATCAAAGTCCATCCAACCTGCCGCAGTGTGTTTGCACCTCACTTGAGCGCACACACACACAGAGCACAGTACAGTGTGAATTTGTTATGAGCATGTACGGTTCGCCGGAAAACATTTCATGCAGGTAAAATAAGACTCAGCACTTAGGATACAAGATTAATATATAACTTAGCTTTAAATATGCTTCTAGATCTTGTCTAGCACTTTGTTCGCTGCTGTTGTGGCATCCCTCTGGGATGATGTTTCATGTGTCACAGACATACACACAGTCTGAGGCAAGTTTCTTCAAGTATATCACTGCCATATGACATCTGTGCACTAAAGCGAGATCTAAAGCCGGCTCCTTTTCTGATTAAATCCCGCTTGCATCTTCCGCATTACACATGCAGAGTCTTCATGAGCTGCTGAGATGTTGAGAATAATTGATTAAGTACTTTGGAAAGGTGCCCAAAACTGCCTCCTAATCTTTCTTAAGAATAAAGAACTCATAACACATTTAAGAGCATTTAAGATGGCTCTGCAAAGAGTTCATGTTCCTAATGCAATGGTTGCACTTAAAACTCATTCAAATGGCCAATGCATTTGTATATTTCAACAACATTCACACAAACCAGGAAATCCATGATACAAACAAGTAAAATAGTCATGCATTCATTTAGTAGATGCTTTTATCCAAATACCGGTCATACATTTGAAATCATTACGATTTTTTTTTATGTTTATGAAAGAAGTATTTTATGAAGTCATCATTCTAATATGCAGATTTTATGCTTTCTTATTATTGTCAATGTTGTTAAACCGTGATACATTTTTATCAGGATTCTTTGATGAATAGAAAGTTCAAAAGAACACTTTTGATCAATTGAATGCATCGTTGCTGAATAAAAGTATTACATTTTTTTAAATCTTACTTACCCCAAACATTTGAATCATATCCATCATTGTTTTCACTAAAATTACAACATTGAAAACAATAATGATTCTTGAGAACCAAATCAGCATTTTAGAAGGATTTTCGAAGGATCAAGTGACAATAAAGACTGCAGTAATTACATTATACAACAAATACATTAAAATAGAAAACATTTTAAATTGAAGTAATATTTCACAATATTTATTATCACATCACTGCAGCCTTGGTGACTGATGAGCATAATACAGTTCTTTCAAAAACATTTTAAAAAATTCTTATTATTATCCCCAACTTTTGACAGGTACTGTAGGTCAGGTGTAAATGACCAACAATATTTGCAGCGTCAATTTTAAGTACATGCTGGATTACTATTCAAGCTACAGTAGAGCAAGAGGAATTTAGAAAACATTTTACTTGCAGTTTTCAAAATGTGACAAAGTTCCTAGCTCCTTTCCTTCTGAGGGAGTCTGTGCTACCAAAGATGAAGTGCAGAGAGAGGATAAATCCTGCTAGATCTTCAGGTGAGTCAATGAACAGCTTTAATTGAAAACTAAAGGTCCAGATGTCTCTGCTTATGCCAAGCAGAGAGATGCAGATCAAAGTTTTGTGGATGACATTCTACAATTTAAGCGCTGAGGTCCGACTTCGAAGACGGCTGCTGTATGAGATTTGTGGACATTTAATGCAGCAACTCTTAACATTAAGTACTGTTCATGCTGTGGAACTAGATCATAGATCAGAAGAATGTAATTCGATTTCTACCCCTGTGTTTTGTCTCTGAAGTTAATGATTACACTGAACATTAACTTAAGAGAAGCATAAGACTACACATCATCACCCTTTCCTCCTGAATAAAAAACCAGCTTAAACACGTTTGTTGGTCTTATTTGGTCTCCCAGCTTGGACTGTTGGCTGGTTTAGAAGGGTTTTCATCTTGTCAGGTGACTGTAAACCAGCTTAAACCAGCAAATCAGCTTAAGACTGGTTTAAGCAGGATTTCTTTTGAAAGATCGACTTGACAAAGACAGTCAACGGAAGTTCCATTAGAAACATGTTTACTCAAAATCATCTCAAATCGGATCCCAATAAAATGTAATCGCTTGCAGACATGTTTAAAATCTCTCTGCGGCATCACACTGCGGATCGCTATTATAAAGAGCCTCAGGTACATCAGTCTGCCGTTATGTGCTGAACCATTAAAGTGTTCAGGACGATGTAGAGCCAAGGGGTTTGGGTTTTCTCCACATCAGCAGTCAGGGTACCTCCTCAATAAAAACAAACAATCTGGAACTCAGAAGAAACCTCTTCAGTCAAAAGAGGTCACACTCGATGTTATTATTTCAACATGATTCAAGTCATCCCATATTAGTTTAGGACTACAAATGGAACAATTACAGTACTTGTCACTTTCCTAACCAGGTTAAGGCATTGAAAGTGTCTTTTCACTGCAAATTGGCATCTTACGTGCAAGTCCACTATGTATTCTGGAGATGAAACTTCACGGCCCTTGCACACATGCTCATACATATGAATGCCCACAATACACACCTGCACAGGCTCATTTGCATAACGGCACTATTGGCTGTTGATTTAAGTCCATAACCTTCATACTAGCAGAGTTACGAGAGAAACAAGTAAACGTTAATGGGGAGAGCAGAGGACAGGTGAGGAGAGGTATGAAACTGTCTTGCCAGGGGGAAAGATAGTGAGATTCAGAGTGACAGAGGCAGGCAGTTCTCCAGTAGTAGCTTGCCCAAGTGGTCAGTGATAGTCTGAATTTAAAATGGTTAGAAATGAGCTTAATGTGTGTGCTTATGGGAAAGAATGCACTGTTTATTAGTGCTTTAGCATCATAAACCATTATTCTTATATTTTCATATTATTTAATTTATATTAGTTTTAGTCATTTTTTGTAGACTGGGTTTCCCCATACCTAGCCGCCGCGCGATTTTATTCATGCTGCTAGGTAGTCTGGATACCATAGACCAAATTTTCACCTTATCTAGGGAACCAATCACAAAAAGGGGAGGGAGCAGCAAGACGATGACGACGTCTATGCGACACACCGAAGCAGTTTTTTTTATACAAAATGGCAGCAGACGCGAAGTTACCTTTCGATGCAGCCTCAAGCTCAATTTATACAGTACTTCTGCGCCGAACTCTCGCCGCAGCTGTGTCGTAGGCTGTGTGACTTTCTTTTATTTGTCTACACAAGGACGGTCTTGTTAAAACTCACTAGAAATGCTTATTCTGTGCATTTTGGGCAATTTTGTCCATCAAAACTGTCCTTTCGCTTTAATTTAACGTGAGCATTGCAGCCAAAAACAGATTCGACACCGAAACCCCTGCATCATTGCTGCTCACGCGGTGCTCCTGCTCCCGGTGTGATTGCACTCATTGATTAACATGCACGCCGGAAAAAATAGGCACCGCTCAAGCATGGGATGTGAAACGGCCGTTAGATACACGCCATTGTGTACACATACATATCTCTGACCCCCCAGCAAACAAGTTTAGGTTCTGGGAATGTTAGTTTTTGGTTCCCAGAACTTCTCTTAAGGTTAAGGGAACGTTCCCGGAACATTCTCCTTACATTATAAAAATGGAACCTAAAAATAACCAACATGGAACGTTCCTATAATGTTCTTGTTTGGTTCCCAAAAAAGTAACCTCATGGGACCATTCGGGAACGTTAGGGGAACGTTCTGTGTTTGCTGCGTCTTCTTCCTCGTCTAATTTCTGTCGCTCTACATCAGGGATGGGCAACTTTGGTCCTGGAGGGTCACTGTCCAACAGAGTTTTGCTTGAACATGCTGATCAAGGTCTTCAGGAATAATAGAAAGTTACAGACGGATGATATTTTTCAAAGTTGGAGCTAAACTCTGTAGGACAGTGGCCCTTCATGACCGGTGTTGCCCATCCCTGCTCTACATACGTTATATGGTATAATTGAAACGATTGGCTGAGAGCTACGTACAGGTGCATTTGATAGACATACCAGTACTTAGCACCCAATAAACGGCTCTGGGCATTCATTTTGCATTAGTAGGCTATGTTTGTTGATGTGTCCATATAGTTTTTTGATTTATTTATTTCAGCTTTAGTTTTAAAGTTATTTTATATCAAACATTTAGTACAAACTAAATGAAATGAGAAATGTTGCCTTGGCAGCAAAGAAAGAAAGAAAATAAAAAGTACTAAAAACAAACTTATTTCACTTAGTGTTTATTATATATCAAAAAAATAAAAATGTAATAACCCTACATGGGGACATTAAAGATGTCCCTTGTGTAATTTTAAGTGGCATGTGTGGTACCCAACACATTATTTATTTTTATTAAAGACAAATTCCTTTTGTATGTAAGCATACTTGTCAATAATTCGCATTCTGGTCTGTGTAACATTGTCTTGTTTTCTGACTGACACATGCCATGTCAAATTGCTTCACAGATAGTGGGCAGATTTCTCCTCATAACATGCTTGAGATCCCACAACCCTAATAAAACAGTGATATTCATATGAGTGTAGTAGTCATAAACGCTGTGGAGGGTTATGATGGTGCCGAGAGGGGCTGCATGCAGCTAGCCAATGACTGCAATGGTCATTATTTACCAGCAGAGTGGGGTATGTATCCCTCATCTCATCTCACATCACTGCAAACCCACGGCAACTGGTCTGACACATTTTCTCAGCACCTGCTACACACTCTACACTCTCTGTGTACAGAAAAACACCTAAATCCACATAAAGCTGAAAGGACTCCGTTGTCTCCAAACAGGAGTGCGCGAGGCCGCTCTTTTACTACGTGGACCAACAGTTCACTCACTCACGCGCTCGCGATGATGTACTGCTATTGTTGTCTCCTATTGAGGAGCTTTCACGCGAGCATCTTTTACGATAGACCCAAATGTGTGGCACATGCTGACTTGAAATGAATAGCGATAGAAGACATGGAGATAGTTGACAAAAACAAAGCAGCTGACACGGAGAAAGCGCGCGACGTTAAATGCTGCAAAGGCAAAGTGGCTCCCCTGGCATCAGTCGCCACGCAAGGACATAATGGAATTCACGCGGTACACCAACAGAAATGAAAAATGGACAAAAGCATATGGCAGTAGTATCGGATGGTTAGTCAAGCAATAACTAGACGGTCTGTGACATACCTTCATAATTCCAGTCTTCCCCCCCGCGACGTATTGCCGTATGGCTGTAATCCTCCTTACAAATACTCTATTAATATTGATTGCCTATTGGAGTCGCAGGTGACTGCAGATATGCTGTGTTGGAGGAGCCCTACGGTTTCAGGTCCATTGCTCTGCGCTGCTGAGGATGAACTGGCCGGAGAGGGAGGACAGTGTAGCATTACAATCCCGCGCGGAAGCCTCGTGCCCTCTGGGCCGCTCAGCTAATGGAACATGGGTCAAAATTACGTTGCATTCAGTGCAGCCCTGTCTTTGCAGGTTTGGCAATAAGGAAGCGATGATAAGGCAGCCAAGCGGAGGGGAGGAGAGGAGGAGGAGGCAGGGACTGGGAGGGAACGCTGTGTGAAACAGGGACGTATCGGACCTCCCTGGTCGCAGGCGATTGGACAGCGCCGCGCGAGACTGGGAATACATGAACGCGCCGTGACTCCTTACCCAAATACTTCAATCAAGAAGACATATTTGAATTGATAATGAATAGGACCGCATGCTTCTCATAAAGTGAGCGAACGTTCTGATAAAATAGGCAAATATTTATTTTGGTGACACTATGAAAATCTCCGAATGCTCACCCGACGCAGTATTGTTGTCAACAAGTGCAATTTCATCGACGAATTAATTCTTAAATAATAATGGCTAATTGTGCATTTTCTCTAGCATAAGGCACATGGAATTTTTTTAAACTAGATATTTTCTTGAGTTATTTTTTACATCATTGGCAAATGTTTAACTTGCTGAAAGCATACATTTAGCAAGGTTAGCACTGTATTTTTGTAAATGGCACCACAAAGGCATGGTTTAATCATTAATATCATAAAAAAAAGCAAACCCAGTAACAAAAATAGGAAGATCTGTATAAAAATAATTCAAACAAACGTGATGCGTGCGCGTGCTAGTTACCATGGAATGGAATTCCCTTTGCCCCTATAAAAGTAGCTATACACTAACTACATTCAATTTGATCTGTAGGCTAAATTACAAGATAAATAAAACTTTTTACTTTAAAATAGGCCTAACTTTTTTTTTATATAAAAGGGATCATTCACACAAAAATGAAATTCTGTCATCATTAACTCACATGTTGTTCCGAACTTGTATGAGTTTCTTTAGATATTTGGAAGATTGTTGGTAACCAAACAGTTGACGGTACAGCCATGAGTTTCATAGCTTATTTGCTACCATCAACTGTGTGATTAGGCCTACATTCTTCAAAATGTCTTCTAATAGTTCAACTGAACAAAGAAACTCATACAGGTTTGGAACAGCATAAAGGTGAGTAGATGTCATAATTTTCATTTTTAGGTGAACCCAGTTGTAATGTCTGGTTCTCTTGAGTTTTACTCTTGACTAAAATGACCACATTCCTAAATATTACGTTTATAAAAGTGTTGTATTTGTAACAAAATGTGGCTGTTGATTTTTTTCACATTGCAGTTGATGAGCTAATAAGTGAAACTCTTCGTGGTCTGCGCGCGCGCTGCGGCAGCTTCTCCGTCTCCGTTGATCTTGGGTCCGTTTATGCTGACATCAGCGGTTCACTGTTTACGTTTGGCTATGACGTTGGCGCAAACTCTTTCTAAAGACAAACGCAACTCTCCGTTCCAGCTCCGCGATGTAACATGCGAGACATACGCGTGTGTCTGTTGTAAAACACTGCTTAAATAGTGCCTATTGTAATCCTCAAAGATTCGTCCGCCATTATTCGGCTACACTACTGTTTTGGATGAAGAAGAACGTGTGGAAAAATAAGAGTCGTATAAGCATCATTAAGTAATGCGCACACTTTATCCATGTGCTCTCTCTGGTTGCCAAGGAAACTGTGTGGGTATCTTGGATACAGTGCCAGTAGCGCATGCAACCGAGATGGTCCTCACTGCAGAACACGAAATCCAGGGGGAGGAGTTGGATCCAGATCCAACTCCTCCCACCTTACATACTCCCTAAACCTTTACCCATCTCCACCCCCTGATCCCTAACCCCACCCCTTATCCTACCCATCTCCACCCCTTAGATCTGGATCCAATTTCGCCCCCTGGATCTAGTGTACTGCAATGAGGTGCTACCCGCGCAAGCACCACCCACCCCAAGCAAGACATCATCTTTGGCTATTATTTTCCAACACATGCGATTGACCCATAAAATAGCCTACATTATAAGATATTAACGAGCGTTAACAGACACAATTGCATTGAGCTGCTCGCGAAAGAACAAGTATTTCTTCAATAGTGCGATCAGCCCTTCGGAATCATAAATAACGTGGGCAATTAACAAGACCTTCTCTTCATTACAGAGGGGGTGATGGAATGCCTGTTGCAGTGCCACAGTTGTGTGGAAGTGTGTATGTGTTTGGCTGGGGGTAAAAGTCAATGAGGTACCTTAGAAAGTGCTGACTATGACTCAGTTTTAGTACAGAAGTGCCCTGCTTGCTGCAATCCCAGTGCACCCTTGTGTATAGACTGTACATGGGAACAAACACACTCAAAAACACGTCACTTCACTGTAAAAAAAACACTATTGTTGGCTTAACTTAAAATTGAGTTCACTGAAATTAAAAATTTGAGTTAATACAATAAAAGATTGGTTTAATAAATAGAAACTCAAAATATTGTTTTCTGAACCATATTAATTATCTAAGATGAGAAAAGAGAACTCTGTTCTGTTTTTACTCTTATCCAAACTTGTCAGATTTGCTGTTTGTGAAGAACATGTTAAAATAAGAAGGTGAAATCAGTGACATAAAAATGCAAAACCGAATCCACTTGCCTTTTTTTGCTCTCTTTTTTTTTACACACGAGTTACACATTCATCTCTGCTAAACTCTAATCTAACAGAGCACACCATGGCACTCACTGAAGAGAGAAAGAGAAAGTGAGGGAGAAATAAAAGAGAGAAAGAGAGAGAGGGGGAGGGCTGAGTGAAGACAGTGAGATAAATCAAAGTAATTCATCTCTTCAGAACAAGATAGCAGATAAATAGGCGAGAGCATGTGAAGGAGGGTTTCAAATGAGAGAGATGAGGAAAATAAAAATTCCTCACTCTCTTCAGTGTTATCATTATATGATATCGCGTGAGAATACAAATCAGTAATGATACTGTAAACATTAAAACGAGGTGTTTTGAGAGAATATTTTGTGAAAGCTTAATACATTATAAGAATCTCTGACTTTAAACGGTTCAATATAAATATTTACTTTTGTTTAAAATAGCATTCCGCTGATTATAAGATAATCTTGCAAATGCCACAAATGCACTTTGTTTCATTAACATATTTTATGACGTCATCCTGCCGAGAACTGAGAGTGTAACCACTAGAGGGCAATAACTGTCCATTTTTATGGTCCCATATTGTCCAGCACTTTTTTTATGAATTATATACAGAAGTCTAGTGGAGTGGGTTGTACCTCTGTTTATTTTAGTAGCCTACTTTGTTTAATAGTAAGTATAGGCTAAATATAGTAAGAGCTAAGATCATTAAAAAAATATGGAACAACCACTTTCTCAACCATAATCAGACAGCGAAAGTTTGTTTTCCATTCAGTTGTATTTTGTTAGTGTTATGAAGGAGTGACCTTGACTATAAACATAAGAGTTAAGTAATAAGATAATTTGCATTCGGACATCAATTGTAGTGAAGCAAAAAGGACATGGTGTGTTCAAAAGAGGGCATTGCCCTTGAGCAGTGCACTTAACCCACTGTCACTCCAGGGAGACTGTCTTTTTGCAATTACGGTACTGTACATCCCTCTGGATGACCAGTGTCTGATGAAGGATGAATAAATGAAAGCACTGTCTGAGATTCAGACCATCAGACAATAAAAATATTCAAAACCATGGCTTTGTTTGTAATTTTTAAACTGTAATGTGGTTGTTTATGCACAATCACATGTGATTGTATAAGCTCCAAGGCGAATTAGATGACATGACTCTATTTCTACAGGGATTGATGCATAATTATTCATTATGTTTGAAGCACTTTTGAGTTCATTTTAACATGGAAGTATTGTCTTTTTTAAGGTGCATTAACTTATCATTAAATCAAACATGTTCAAAGCAGTACATGCATGCAGGGATTACAGCGACTTAGACTAGAGTATGTCATGGGAATGTCAGGAGGAATTTGGTGACAAAAGCGTCAAGCTGATGTTAAAGAACACAAGTGCAGGTAACCTCTTTCCTATAGGGATAAGGCTTGATAAGCTGACCTCTATTTCCACATGCCTTTTTAAAACATGCAGAAGGTTCCATACTCTTTTTACAGGTCCAATATGTGCTTAGGTTTAGTATTTCCAAATTCACAATTTGGAATTCTCAGATTTAGCACAAAAGCTTATATGTACCTACATTGGAGTGTTTTGTGATGCATCTTGTGTTATTTATTGTGTGCTAAATTTTAATGTCAGATTACAGAACAGAACTGTAGTTGGCAAAATTCCATCCCATAGTGCTTGTAATCACTTTACTTTGTATAAGGAATTAACTACAGCTGCCATGTTTTTGGGCTGAGAAGCTCAACTTCTTTTATTTTCTTTTAATTCCTCCCCAAATACATTTTCTCTTGTATTATTAATGCCGTTTATCTCTGTAAACATTTAAATAAAATAAAGATGGAATTAGTACAACGGAATTTTGATCTGCCATTCGCACATCTTAAATGCAACAGCGCACAAGAGCGCGTGGACACGCGCAGAGGCAGCGCAAGTGCGCTCACGCGCTCGTGTGTGTGTGTAGATTTATCCGTTGCGTTGGGAAATGAGCAAGGACTCGCCCACATTTTCTGTCGACGCTCCATAAAATCGTTTGCCCAATATCCCTGCCTTTAATAAGTTTCTAGGCTGCCTGTCCCTTTAAACGAGTCATTTTTTCTTTAATCCTGAATTGATGGCTTAAATGCGGAGAATAGACTATCTGCCGAGTGTGCGCTACAATCATCAACGGCTATATTACTTTTTTTATTTATTTTTGTCCCTAACGGTCTCAAAGTTAATTTTCTTAGAAGACGGGAAATAATTGAACGCTTCTAATTTTTTAAACCATCTAAATCCAACTCCACAGATTCAAAATGAAAAGCCTTTAGAAGGTGACTGACAGCATCTTTGGACCACTCTAGGATTCTACTACTGGAAAACTTGCCGCTTTTATAGAAAAAACACATTTTTGGAAATATGTCTCATAAATGTGTGTGAAGGAACTGTCGTGAGGATCATGCATTCTGCTCCAATGAGGTCAAAGTGACAACTCCGACATGTATGAGGAGAACCGAAAAAGTAAGTTTTGTTTTATCATTTTTTATTTTTAG